CCCCATAGTGACACTGTACTATACACCCTTGTAGTGTCAGAAATGTATTTGGTATACTTCCATTACATTTTTTGAGCTTTTCCGAGTATGTGCTGCTGTATTGCAATATATAAGTTCCCACATGTTTGATGTTATATTTCTGTCAAGAGAAACTAGTTTGTTGATAAATATCAGATGATCATATGTAAGTGATGAAACCAGATAATGAGTCCTGATATTTGGAAAAAAAAAACCCAATGAGATGAAGGTGACATGAAGCGAGGTTTGTTAGCAAAAGGTGGTGTACATGCCATCAACACTTTTCTGGGGGTGCTTTCTATCTGGCTAGTGCGGCTCACTTGCCTCTTGAATCTCCTTCCAGTGGGGATGCATTGAATTGGGTGTTCAAAACGTGTGCTAACGCTAATACACTATTTCTTCATCCAAAACACAAAGTGGAGCTGGTTAGTTACACTAGGCTATTGCAAACAGTTCAGTTTTTTCCACTATATTATAAATATAATGTAAATTATATTACATAGTAGGGTAAGGTCAACAAAGTAAAAATCAGCTCATTTACTTTTCATTTGTCAATGTAAATAATATTATTAAATTAATTTCCTGCATCATCATACAGTTAACATCAGAGCTTTTGAAATATACACAATTGAAAGATCAACCTAATGTACAGCTGCAACACAGTGAGCCCATTGTCAACCTGGCTCAGCCAATGTAACACAAAGGTAGAGATATATTTGACACAAAAGTGTTGAATGGTGCAAAATGTAAAGAACCACATGCAGGCTGAATGCCAGCTAAAGGATGAGCGTGTCATGGGATAGCTTTTATACTGTGGTGATCCAGGTGAGCTAGATCAGCTGATTGCCCTGCAGAGTCAGCTGTTGGCCTTGTGAGCTAAGGCCACAAGACACAGTGGGAGGGAAATCAAACTCCCTCGTGAGCTAGTTAGCTTGCTTGCTAGCTGGTTAGCTCACTGGCCTGTGGCTGATGATGTACATTGACTGTGGGACAGTTCTGGGAATCCCAAGCAAACTGGATGATGTCAAACTGTCTATGAATTTGTTGGGATGAAGCCTACACTAACTTAATTTTGAAGATCACCATTCTGTTTGCAGATAAAGTGTTGATGCTGGTGGTGATTGGATGTCATCCAGCATGTGTGTCAGGAGGTGGTGGCAGGCAGGGTGCCACAGGTGCACCTAACTAGGCTGATTGGATAAGAGAGAAGGACCTTTAGGGCTACTTGATTGTATGTTGTGAACCAGAACAGAGTTGCCTCTTAGATTTTAAATTTAAATGTTAATAGATGGGTTCGGTGTAATAAATGAATGGACAGAAGGCAAGGGGTGTGGCATTGAGGGCATAATGAATAAAGACATAGAGGACCAATAATAAAGTAGTTTTCCTGATTAAACTTTTGCTGAGCTCCATTAATTTTGTTACACTGCAGACACACAGGATATATGACCATAAAACCAGCAGTGCTGGCAGCTGAACTCTTCTAAATGAATGCTTCACAGTTATAATAAGAGATGAAGTTTAAAGCAGAGAAATTAAACATTTTCTTATTCAGCTCACAAACACAATTAGGCCAGTTCAGCACAACCTTGGTAAACTTTGTTAAGCCTTCTGCTTGAAATGTGATGATCTGAATCTCACTTTATATGTAAATAGACCTGATTAATTCAGTCAATAAATGCTGATAACGAAACACATTGTTTTAGATTATCCTGACCTCAAGAAAGTTATTGTGCTTTAATTTAGTTTTGCTCAGAAAGGGTAACTTCTGTTTGATTCCTATGAAGTGATCCCATTTAACCCTTGTTCTGCAGCGAGGATAAAAAATAAAATAAAAATAGACCTGGAGACTGACTGGTGCACTGTTGACATCGTCACCAAATGTAACTGGAGCCAAACTGCTTAATCAGAGCCTCAAACCCGGCCATTTAAATAAAATAAAAATTGACACTGGACACAGCTGTACTGGACTGTTGTGATGAAGAAAGTGCTGGGCTTCTTTGGCTAATTGGCCTTGCATGGCAACCCTGCTGCCATCTGTGTGTGTGGGAGTGAATGGGCGAATGAGCGGCAACAGCACTATACAAGTGCTGTCCCTTCACCGTTTTAGAGATAGGGTTAGCATCCAGATGGAGCTTCGAATAGAGTAACTGCTCTTTTGCACTGTACAGAGGTCAGGTACTCAGGTTTCAAAACTCAGTGAGATTACCTGATTAAATAAGTAATATATATCCATCTAAGCGGCCTGCTGCCACAGTGACCAGGTTAAGTGGTAGAAAAAATATATTATTGCAGTGGATCTCTGATGCCAGCTCCTCTATTCAGGGCTGGCAGAGTTATATTTCAATTGATTCCATTGGAATATATCACAGATATTCTCCACTCCAGGTTGGATCAGTTTCTTGGGGGCAAGTGCAATTTTGTTGTACCTATATTTCCATTTTAAGCTACTTTATACTTCTACACCACTACATTTCACAGGGAAATATGGTATGACTACATTTATCTGACAGCTTGTACTGTTAAGATTAAAATCTTACACAGAAAACTTATAATGAGGTTTTTAAATCAATGGTTCTCAAAGTGGGGTCTGGGGACCCCCAAGGGTCCTTGAGGGGGATTCCAGGGGGTCCCCAGCAAAAAGAGAAATACTTTATTTTTGTTATAATTCCATCTATAAGTAGCACAGTGACAGAATGTCTGACTAATTTGGTCATGGGTTTCATATACTTTCTGTAATAAAACATCTAAAAGCAAAAGTCCAATCAGATGGGGGACCCTGGGACAAAATCTTATCAAAGTTGGGTCTTTGGGGTAATTTTTTGTTAGTTTAGGGGTCCCTGATGTGAAAAAGTTTGAGAAACAAGAGAAACAATGTTTTAAATGATGAATTGTTTGAACAACAAATAGTAATGTATATGAAGTATGGTAGTATATAGCATGGGATGATTGATTGAAATTGTTGTACTTGATTAATTTTGACAGATTTATTCCTATCACACTGTCAGCTACTGTTTGGTTCTTTTGATGTGAGCTTGCAGCACGTTTATGAAACTGGGTTTCTGACATAACAAAGTAGAACTTGAAGTAGATCTGCAGCTTGCAAAACGTTCTTTCCTTGCTAGGATGAACAGAATCATCACTGCGTGAGGGCTGCATTTTATTTCACCTAAGAATAAATAAAACCCATTTTTTGTGCAAGGTTTTAGTGTGTACCTTTTTTCAGATGACAAATGTAAACAAATGCATTTGGGTCACACAAATAAGCAACTGACATGATGAAAATCGACACACGTTGCCTCATACTTTACACTGAGATGTCATAATTACACTGCCGCACACATGCTCTCATCTTAACATTATGCAAGCGTGTTATATCTGCCCTGCAACCACTCATTATGTGCTGCTGTGTTCCTGGAACCGTGTGAAGATTAGTAGCTCTGCAGATGCAAATGCATTTGCTCCTGGCTGATCCTGACACCGGCAAATTTAGCCTGAAAATTAAAGGAAAATAGAGAATAGTCCATCTTGAATGACAGGCTAATCTTAGCTCTCTGTGCATGTTTGTGGGTGTTGGAATCTGGTTATGCCTTTTCCTTATTTTCCTGATATATTTTAACGTTGTTTTATTGATGCACGGCAACAACACTTCCACTGCGACGACCCAAAATTGTTCAGTTTATTTATTACTGAAATTGGCAAAAGATAGAGTCTGCATGGGAAGTGAAACGTTTTGTTAACGAAGACAAACTCTACCTCTGGAGGACAATATCACCTGAACATGCACACAAAAGCACACAATTTAGTGCATGAATTACCCATCCAAAGGTGCAGTATCTCGGACAAGGATTAGCTTTTCTTTCATTTCCGCCATGTTGACCATTTTTCATCCCCCCTCTCTCTTTATCTGGCTCTCACAACCTATCACAGACTTCATCCAGTTCAAACCACCTTTGAAAGCAAAGCATCATTGCTTTTTATTTGTGTGTTTGTTATCTAGATGTGTAGCCGGTCAAGCTGCAGGGGTTTGTGTGAAGTCATGGTGGTAAAGAAAGAGATGTTGACACACAAGCATGCAAGTGTAGAAAATGCATGCATGCCAACACACATGCACACAAATGTTCATAGTATCTGGGCTCACAGACACTGAACTGGCGTGCAGTTCAGATGAGGTCTGATGGGGTTGCCTGGCCTGGCAGTCCAGTGCTTTTGGAGGATCAAGCTGTAGCTCTTATCTCTCTGGCCTGATGGTCTAACCTCTATTCCCTGCCATCAGTCTCTCTCTCTCTCTCACGCACACACACACACACACACACACACACACACACACACACACACACACACACAGATCTTCTCTGCCTTACTTTTTGCCATCTGACTGACCACAGCTGAAGCAGCTAAACAAGCGCTTTTGTTTGGGGATGAGAGGGGAAGTGAGAGTGCAGACAGTCAAATGTTGGAATAGTGTTAGAAACTACACAACTGCATGCCTGCACCCATCCCCGAATATTCACCCAGATTGTTCCCACAGGATACGGCATTACCTAATGTCATATCCTCTTCCAACTGCAAGATCAAAGTGATTACTTTACCACAATGGACAGTGCACAACAAAATGGCCGCAGAAATTACAGAATATTGTTTTGCTATAAATACTTTTCAACTCAGATTTTTGTATTTATTAACTGAGTCAATAGACCTTGAAAAAATGTTTACTTTTCTAAAGTTTTACTTTTCTAAATAATACAAACAGTGATAAATTCCCTTAATTGGGCAAAACAAAAACTGAAAATAGTGAGATGATTAATTTATTCACCCAAATTTTTTAGACTTCCAACTGCTCCACTGATCTCTGTGGTTAATGGTAATCAAGGCCCTCTTGCAATGTTTACAGTCTTAGCTCTTAGACACAGACAAAGACAATTGGGCTGCTGATAAGGCATTAGTAAATAACAATAAATTGTTAAACTCTTGTAAAGCCCTGTTTTCACTTGGATGTCTGAAATGATTATTTTTAATTCTGACTTTTAACTGTGTATTAATGATCAAAATAAACACTAATATTTGTTTTTTATTTAATAAAAATGAAATATTTAACTGTATACATACTTTCACTTGCGCACATACGTCCCACACACACAGACACACCTCATAATACTTTAAATATAATCTTGACTAAAACAAAGAAAGGCAGCTATGCTGTGACTAATAAAAAGAGAAAGCAGCGAGGTTTTCCTAATTGAACCCTGATATCTCTTCCTGTGCTACTTCTGAGAGTGTTAAACCAGCAGGATGTGAAGTTATGCAGTAAGCAATGTTCAATTACTGGCACATGTACAGCCATTTAAAGATGTGCAGAGTGGAAAGCAGAAACACCTGCATTAAATTACTTTTTCCCTCCTCTGTTGTATAATTGCAGATGCTCAGATGTACATTGTGCTGAAGTACTTGCATGTCAAAAGTAATTGCTGTTTTCTCGAGGTGCAGAAATAACTCACGCAGGACTGTCAATTAAAACAGAAATGCCTGTTTGGCTTCTGGCTATGACTTATGTGTTATGTACATTCCTCCTCTGTGAGGCTCCAGAGCTGAGATTTTCTTTTATGAAATGTTGCGAAAACATCAATCAATATTCTAGTTGCAAGGCTCATATCAGGATAAGACAAAAATAAATCCAGACAATTCTTGCAGACTTTTATCTGTTAAAAGCTCATACACTGATTACAGTTGGTCAAACAAACAACTTCACATTTTTTTTGCATTGTGTCTGTGCACATCAACTTCCATAAGTCACCAGTGTTTGTTCTGGTGAGGACATTATGGATGTTGGATGGTCATCAGTATCAAATAACTGTTGAGGTTCAACAAGTGATATAGAAAAGCTCCTTTTGAGGATTTGATGGCAGCATGGAAAACTAAGTCTTCAAATCAAAAGAAAGAATGTGCTGGGCTGATTTTTGTGTGCTTGTGTGTGTAGCCTTGCCATTCAGTCGTTTATAAAATTAAAAAAAGATGGCAGAGCTGAGTGGTGAATGTTCCCAAGGATAAGCTATTGTGAAAGATTTGATAAGAGAGTGGGAATTCTCAGGTACTGTGAACTAATCCAGAGTGTCGCATTTTTAAATGAACATTTCTGAACTGAAAAGAGCGTCGGTCACACACGGGAAAGTGCCACAGAAAGGATCATGAGTACAGAAGGTGGTGACATGTTGGCTGAAAACAGTTAACATGAAGCCACATTCACAAAGCTTGAAAGGGGGGCTGCTTTGAGTGTTCAATGTTAGACTTATTTCATATCAAAAACAAAGAATCCAGATGTCACTCCTATCTTTTAAAATGTCGTCCAAGAGTAAACCTTTGAAAGCAAGCCCCATACCGCTTTTTTGGTGGGTTTGTTGAAGATAAAAACTGTTAAACAGAAAATTATCTAAACTTTTGCTTATTGTAGAAAGTTTAAGCTTTTACATTGCTGTTACAATTAATGTTTTTCCAAATCAATTTATTTTTATCAAATACTTTTGAGTATAATATTGGTGGAGTTCCTCAGTATCAAAGCCAGCTTTCCCCTTTATTCATGTAATTTTCATTCCAAAATGAACAGAGACAGCAATTGATGTTGTTTACTACTGAAATTAAAACCAGTTTTAAGCCTCATAGATCAATAGACAAAGTTATGTGAATGGAAATGTTTTGTGTTTTGTAGGTATCAAGATCTTTTCATAAATGGATGTACAGTATAGTATTTTTGAATGAAACCATATTTTAAAACATAACTTATCATTCATTTCTGTATTTCTAGAAGTTGGTGAAAAGATGAAACTACCAGCTACTTTGGTAAGATAAAGAACTTAGAGAATACTGGTTTCAAACCGGGTTGGGTGTGAAAAGGCGAAAAGAGTCAAAATGTCTTCCAAGCAATCAACCAAAACAAATGTTATTTTGAAAAACTCTTTACCAGAATTGCAACCATTTTTTACTTTTTGTCACCAGAAACATTTGGGTGTAACTTCATACAGAGATTCAAAAGCTTCCAATTCATAGGATACAACATAGAGACATTTATTTTTTGATTCAGTACCCAAACCCTGTGGTTCTCCCTCCCGTCAGCCCCAGAAAGCAGCATTGTTCATTAATAACCAAAAACGCAATACCAAATCAACTAAAAAATGTCAGATTAGCTCCTGTGGTGCCCCTTACCCAACCGTCCTTCTTTTGTCCTTCTGTCCATTCATCCGATAAATCCAATAAACGGAAAAATAATGCACAGGTGACTGTGTGTGCATATGTGTGTGAAAATATAATTTGTAACAAAAACAATAATAATCTAGAATTGGTTTGAAACACTGGCCAAAGGGGAGTCAGCATCTGGGTTGTCTTCAACAATCTGCCCTCCCAAATCCGACCAACTGCAGAAGAAGTCTTTTCCTGTTTATTCTTCTTCTCCCTCTCTGCACTTGAGGAGCGCACACACACACACACACACACACACACACACACACACACACACACACACACACACACACAGCAGTTTTAGTTTTGTGTCGTAAATCCTCAAAGTGTTGTTGGTCAGGGCTGTACTGTAATTCTTGGCTGGCTAGACAGGTTTTCAAAAGGGGGGGGGGTTGATGTGGAGGCTCCCTCCTCGTTAGCCATTTTGGATTCTGTGCAGACTCTCACAGAACGTGGACTCGTGGACGTGCATCGGGACGTGAATGAAGTTCACTAGAACTGAGCAAGAACCAAAATGTGAGTTAATACTAAACAGGGAGAAGGAAAAAAAAAGAAAAATAGTTACATCATTCCTGTGTTCTCCAACTTTGTACTTGGTCACTTCTTGAATTCCATATATTTATATCCATATATATTTATATATATATTTATATATTCTTTTTACAATTAAAAACACCATGGATTTGACAGACTATTTGGTTTCTTTTTGCCTAAGTAGAAGTGTTTCTCTTGTTTTGTAAATAAATGCATGTAAATATTTTTTTCTCTTTTTCCATACTGTCAGTCGGTGTAAAGGCGGCCACTCAAGAAGTGTTTGTATGTTTGTATCCACATAGTATGCATATCGTCAGCACATTTTCAGAATTTCCATGATGTTACAATTTTTTTTAAATTCAGCATTTCCATTTGTGTCCCACAGATGCAGAACACCAGAGTTTGTCAAACACTGTCAAACCGAAATTGAATGTCCTAAATCGTGTCCTTTCATTGGCTGATTTGGCCCAGGTCTCTGTGTGATAGGCTGGGGCTAAGTAACTGGGTCTGAGTGGGTCCGTTACAGCTCAGTGCCCCAACACTTCCTCCATTAAGGTTCAGGAAGCAAACAGTTTCTCTGGCCTCCATCATCGCAGCTGTTGAGCCGCTGCTGCTGAGCCCACCCTCTTCCTGCTTCCTGTGAGCCAAGGCCCTGAGCTGCTCCTGCGCCTCCTCCAGCAGCAGCGCCACCTCATCCTGCTGCTGTCCAATGGCAGATGAGCAGAAAGAAGCAGACAACGTGGCGTGTGCTACCTTCTCTCTCCTCTCTTCCTTGCAGGACATGGCTCCGCAGGTGACTGACATCGTTGCGGTTGCTGGGGTGACACTGGTTTGCATACAAGACACCTCATTGTCATGGTGACACTGGACGGAGGGGATGATGGGGATAGAGCAGGAGCGAAATGGAGGAGAGAGGGAGTGGCTGGGACGGCGTCCGGGCCTGCGCAGGCTGCGGGTGCTGGGATTCAGATCGTTGTGGTCAGACGCAGGACAAAGGCCTGAATGCTCCTCCATGCGGCTGCTCCAAGGCAATGGCCTGGAAACAGGAGTTCCCATAAGGAAGGTGTCTTGTCTGGGGTCGTCACATTGGTTGGCTCCTTTCATTTGGCAACTACATAAGACAGGAAATGGGGAATGAAGGCAGACAAGACAGAGACAAAAAGAAGAGAAAGGGAGCGAAGGTTATTCAACTGGAGAAAAACTTCCTCACTTCACTTCGAGAAAAAGTCATTGTGTCTTTGAGTGTGATTTCAACTCGATCGCCTTTTCAAACTCCCACACTGAAACCCTGGCAGAATGCACAGAGGGACAGCTCTCCGCCCTTTGCCATCTTACAGGCTAACCAAGGATGCTGAGAGGGAAGACGATGGGTTTGACATCTTTCTTTCATCTCTTTATATCTCAGTCCGCGCACACACATAAAAAAAAAAAACTCCAAAAACCTCAACTCCCTTATATAAGTAAAGAGGTAAAAGAGAGTTCACTTTTTATATTATTGATTTAATTACTTTAAGTATGTTGAAAATGAAAAGTGTTTTAAAGTTTAAGGCAGTCCGCCTCGGTCAAGGACAATTGAGGTAATCAGCCGTCACCATCATCATCATCATCATCATCATTCCTTTTTAGTAGTTTCAGGTCAAGCCTGTTTTCTTTGTTTGAAAATCCTTTTTGAGTCACTCACGCTCAGAGATTGTATAACAGCACTGATTCGAGTTATGGCAGGTAGAGCTTTCCTATATTTTTCAAGTTTTTGATCTCTGCCATCAGTCATACTTGTGCCTGCACCCTCGTCGTGTATTCCCTCACTCCACTGCTATGTTTTTTAGCGTGTTATGTTTACTGCCTGTCTGGCAGATGTCTTCAGTGTGTTCACCTGTTGTTTTGGTTGCTTCTCAAATCAGCTTGTCAACCTATTCCTATTTGTGCATCCTGCCTATTTAGTCTGTCTGTCCCTGTTAGTCTCAGCATGGTTGTTGGCCGTCCTTGTGCTCAACCTAATAAATTAAACTGTACATCTGTTTCCTGTTACCATGACAACATTTACATGATGCAAGAAACTAGGTTACAGGGAGAGTTTGTGTTTACATGCAGCTTGACAGTAATCAGATTACTCCCCTTGCTCCCAAACATAAGTGAAACCCACAGTTTTTCCACACAGTGGGAATATATCTGAATTGTAGTGTTCAGCTGCAGAAACTGACTAAAACTTATTTTAGTGTCAATTTTAGTCTAGTTGGACTTTGGATCGAATTATTCTGAGTGTTAAGAAGCACCCCTGGGAGTAATCATGTTCTCCTGCACCCTGCTGCACTGCTGCACTCCCACAGCAATACTTTCCCTGTGTTGTTATACACATGCAATATTTTAAAAACATCCTTAAAAACCTTGCTACATGTATGTATGCCAACCTCAGAGAATAACGTGAATGCCGAATGATTCTGCAAAATGTCTTCTACATTTTTAAAGATTTAAAATTATTGCTTTCTAAAATATCTATGTCTGGCAACTATGGTATGGTTAAGGTTAGGGAAATAAATTATTGTTAATGCACTGCATAGGGTTAGGCAACCAAAAGGCGCACTACTTCCTGCTTTGACACTAAATGCTGGCACTGTGAGGAGCAGAATTGTCTGATATCAACGTAACGCCCAGGCTACTGGGCTGATGTATACATGGCAAAGAAGTTTGGTTTCTCAAGCTGCAATTTAGTTCAAGAAACAGGGTTGCAGAGAGTGGACAGTAACCTAGTTACTTCAGCATCTAAAGCCACTATTCTTGCCTCCTACCCTCATCTCTTCTCTCACAAATGCTGTCCGGGGTGCTGATTCTGGAGCTGTCATGAGTATTCCCTGACATTTGCACCAGTGACAGGTACTGATGGCCAAATACTTTTGCTTTTGAAGAAAATTACACTGCTCATGTGTTTTCTGCAATTGGGTCTAGTCAAGCACCATTACACCAAGTCTCTGTCCTGTATCTGGGTCTTGACCTAACTTCACTGAGCTCAGACATAATCTCTTTCTCCCTCTTTCTAAGATTGACCATGCCCTTCATTGTTATCAGTGTCTTAATCCAGTGGCTTTCTAGATTGGAGCCTCATTTGTGTAATAATTCACAATCCTCTGCAAAGGCTTGCTTTTTCCACCACATCAAAATCCAACTTTGACTCCCACTCCCTTACAATATCTCATCACACATGCTCTCCACCAAGGCATGCAAAAATAGTGGTTGGAGAAGAAGGCGCTTTTTCAGACTCAAAGGAAACGACACTGTCCTTTCATTGCTGCAGTATTTTTCAGAGACATGAAAACCTCACCAAAAACCACAGTGGAGATTTAGCAGGCCCACAGAGAGGATCCCGCAAGCGTTAAGAGAGGATGATGCGAGGGTGCTAATTCCCAAGATAACATTCACAGACAAATCTCTCTTTTGAAACACAATCAGATTGCAAAAATCTATGAAGCAGAGTTCAAATATAGACCCTGGAGTGACGGGGGAGCAGCTAGAGGAGTATTACAGAGAGATTGTGTGCAAGTGAGGTGAGATAAGTGACTGGGCTTTTATCTTTTACGGGAGCTCATTACATTTACAAGTGTTAACCGTCATTTTCATTAGTCCATTCCCCTACAGATAATTACTTAATATATCTCATCTGTTTGCTGCTAAATACAAAGTAAAATATCTATGTACTGTTATGCAGTGACCTTGTAAAACTGGGAATGCAGAAACAAAGAGCACACGAGCATTTATACATACATGTAGGTGTGTACGCCTACACACAGATATAAAAGTTAGAGAGGGAAACCGGCATGTTTCTAATAACATACTGCAAACAGTGGACCAAAATACAAAAAGGCATGCAGTCTCTCCCTCAGCCATTTTAGAGACAGCTTTATCTTAAAATAGTAGTAACAACACAGGACATTCTGTCTCCCTGTCAGCCATTTTGTTGAGATAACACTAGGCTTCTCTAACAGGCATGGAATAGAACGGGCAACCTTTCTTTAAAGCATTTTCTAACTGTCATATGCTATCTGCACACTCCTCTATCACATCCTTTTACTGCCCTGCTGCTGTTTCTTCTTTTTTTTACTATATTTCTGAACGCTTTCCGTCTGTGTCAGAATGCATTGAAACTGGGCGTCTCTATTTCTGTCTCTGCATCTCTCCACCAGTCTCTCCCTCAGTCTCTATGCAGTCATGGTCAAATGTCTCCATGGCAACTCAGACTATGCTATGGGAAATGGAGTCTGTCCCACTGCTGTTATGTGTGAAATGTTATGAGTGAATGAGTGAGAAGGTTAGTGAGTGACTCGGGCTGCATGAGTGTGTGGTCTGAATGTGTGAGTCAGTGAGCGAGGGTGACCTCTCGTCTTTCAGCACAACCTGTTCAACTGTAGGTCCCAAACTACGCATGATGTTCACGCAGCATCTGTGGAGAAGTGTGTGTGTGTGTGTGTGTGTGTGGGGGGGGGGGGGTTTACGGATGGGTAGTTTTCATTCTGTGCAATTGAGTGTGTAAATGCTCCAGGGGCAGAAGCAAAAGTAAAAAAGGCAGCATTTGGGCAGCAAAGAACATTTGTAGTGAACAGAAGACATTTGGGTCAAACAGAGGACACTTAAGTGACATCATGGTTGACCAGGGGATGCTTAGGGTGACCATATGACACATGGGCTGACAAGGGCATAATCTGGGCCAACCATAGGTAACTTCACCTGATCAGAGGGCGCTTAGGGCAACCAGAGAACACTTGAGTGATGCAGAGGGGAACTTTGGTTGGTCAGTGGACACATTGCTTGACCAGAGGACACATGGACCACCTAGAAGATGCTTGAGCCAACCAGAACACATTTGGCCTAACCAGAGGAGGCATGGGCTGGCCAGATGACACTTGGATCAACCAGAGGAGACTTCAGCTACCAGAGAGGACCCTTGGGTTGACCGGAACACAGCTGGGTTAAATCAAGTACACCTGGGTAGCCCAAAGGAGACTTGGGGCAACCAGAGGACACCTGAAATGGCCAGTGGCTCTTGGACTCACCAACAGACATTTGGAGGCACAAACAGAGGCACGTGTGGGGCACTTGGGTCAACCTGAAGACACTGACGGGCCAACCAGAGGGCACTTGTACGCATGCGATTTGTGTGCACATGTGCTCACTGTATTTGTGAATGTGTTTTTGCTCAGTCATGTCTATCTCCTATTCCTTTCTATTAGTATGCATGTAGGTCATGTGGAGCTTTATCAGGACAGCTGGGACCCTGAACGCCTGAAGTGAGGCATGCCCGTCCAGGTGGGAAAAGCAGTGACTCATGACCCACCAAAAATGGGTCAAACCACAGTGCCTTTCACACTAAATACATTTCTTGCTTATCATTCACACTGATCATTTACATTTCCCCTGGCTGCTATGCACATGCAGCTTTTCCTGAGAAGTGTAACCCTACTGTGTTACATTTGAAAGCAATAATTGTTGGTCTACTTCCTAAGCCATCGCATTAAAAGCTGATAATTTAGTGCAGGCATGACAAGATGTCAGAGAGGGAAAGAGAGAGGAAAAGAGAGTGAAGAATCTGAATGTGCAGCCTGTATGCTTAAACGCACAAGCTCTATGCGAAGCATTTTCTTTGAAGTCATGCCACTGTACTGCAGACCACAACATAACGTGACCTTGTTTTTATCTTTGCTCAGCAGATTGGAAAACAAAGGGATCGGGGAGTGAGGGTGTGTGTGTGTGTGTGTGTGTGTGTGGGAGGGGGGGTTAAAGGAGATTAAAAACAAGAAATGCACACAAATGGCTTTGAAATATCCACTTTTGAAATGAAATCCAAAGCTATGTCCATGGCAGGCTTGTATTTTTCACTTAGTGGCTTTCACTGCAGCACATCCTCGTACTGAAAAGCCAAAATAGGTTGGATCCCTAAAATGACGTGTGACCGGAAGTACCAGCGAAAGCCATCCTGGACCTTAAGTACGTGACGTTACGCACATAGTTAATGTTGTAAAACGGTCACAATTTCGTTAGGTTTAGGATAAGATCGTGGTTTGGGTTATAATAAGTATGTTACATAAGCCATGTGCAATAAGTAGCATTAGTCACGTAACTTAACTCACATAATGTAAGTCACTTATGTAACATTATTTACCATAAATCTTCAAATAAGTCAACCGTGACGTGGTTTCACATGGTTTACAAACCCCGGTCTCCTGGGTGAAAGTCCTGTACCTATTTGACCCATCCATTCATCCATCAACCCACCCACTTCTTAATGTGAACTTTCCCGCTCCTTATATTACGTCACCTGACTTAATTCTTTGCTCCCATCATAATTACAATGGGTATTAGAGGACTCAGCCTAAAAATAAATGTAAATATGGGTCTTAATAAGCCACTTGCATGGTCGACCTATACGGGCCTCTACAGCAAAGAGGTAAAACTGACAGAAAGAGTGAAGATGGTGAAGAAAAAACCTTGAATTACAGTAATTACATTACACCTAAAATAGCCTTTATTTTTCTACACATTAAGTTGCCTTCACTACTTTCTCCTCACCCTCTTTGTGCTTCAGCCTCCTTTTCAGATGAGTCCACTTCCTGAAGATGTTGGTAGGCGGGTCCTGAATACTTGGATCCTCCAATTGGATTTAGCCTTCCCCTGGGTATGGGTGGGGTCCTGCGTGGGGCTGACCAATGGGCTGGCCGCGATCTCTGATCTGGGCTGTGAGACAAGGAACCACTTCTGAGGAAAAAAAAAAGAAGTAAAAAAAAGATTCATGAGTTAGATCAAGAACATGCGTTTTTTTAGGTGAGACAGGGTAGGTTGATTGTTGCTGCTACTCTTCTTGCTTGTCTTTTTCCCGTTTTGGTCAACCACAATTAGAATCACGTCTAATTATCCATTTGGATGTGGCGGTGTGGCTGTCTGACTGACTTTGGATTGATCTCTCTTTTTTAGGATTAATTAATGCACACAGAGTTTGGGTAAGTTTTCCATCGGTCTATTTTGGATTGGGTCAAAAATTTTGAAACCCATTAAGACCTCTGGTAAGAAGTTAAAAGAATAAGAATAATCTCCTTGTTGAAATGCAAGTATCCCAAAAAGGTTACTGGAAAAGGTCCTGCAGTAGAAAAGGGCCACAAGTTCAGAGTGGAACTCTGGCTCCTAGATAAATCAGACAGTAATTGGAAAGCATGGTGTTCATGTGCTTGTCCTCTTTGCTTACATACAATCTCTCAAACGAGATTTTGGAGTCAGAAAATGTGTAAGTACATTTTGACTTACTTTACTGAAGCAGAAAATGCCCTCTCTGGGCACTCATTCAAATTTAACTCAAAATTTAACTGCTGTTTTGAAGGATAGTTTTGACTCCAAAAATGAGCTTCTTAGCCATAACAACTGGAAGCTCTGCTTACAGTCAGGCACTTAATAGTGCTGGCAGAGATTCACATAAAGGCATTTAAATGAGATATTTCCGAACACAGAATTAGCCACGGCCAGTTTCTTTTTGGCTATTTTGGACTGTGGTATCCCAACACACACTGTAATCCTGACAATAGTGTCCAAGTCGTTGCTTAAGCTGATGCGATTGCAAACAAATAAACCCTGATTGCCCACTAAGAATGTCATTTGTGGTAAGCGCAACAGACTGCCAGCCAAGTAACCTTGTGATCATCTCAGCTCTTCACAGAGAGAGCAAGAAGAACTAGAGAGAAAAGGAATAAAAAAAAATCTTGCAGGGGTTTACCCAAAAGAGAAGCGGACTTTGTGGTTTGAAGGTTGTCTGATCGTATTTCTAGTATGTCTGGGAAAATCTCCTTTCAGCTAGTGCCTGGATCCCCTTGAAAAAAGGTGATTAACCTCCAGCTGTTCTAGTGGGGTTTCTTAGTAGTTAGAGGTAGAAAACCATGGGCGCATTGAGAGGCTCTCTGGTTTGAATGTCTGTAGCTGAACAGTGATGAAAGGGAGTAAAGTCAGATAAGAGGTATGTGTGCATTCTCACACACATATAGTATAAACACAAAACATGGGGCAGAGGTTATTGTATAAGTCAATGAATGTACTACTGAAAGAAATTCCTACAAAATATAAAAACAGAATAGCAGGTAGTGTAACGTACAAACCCGATCTGCAGGAGCTCCCTTCTCTTTGGCTCCGATCTGTGAATGTGTTTGTTCATGTGTATTGTAACAGAAAATCCAGCCTGGGCAAAGATGTGAATTCTGACTCTGTCATAAGTAGTCATTGAAGTGAGTGCTGGAGTGCGTTGCTGCTGATGAACATGCCAAAGTCCAGCCAGCTCTAACACACAACTGAGCACTGTGAGGGGAAAAAAAGCTTACAGGGGTTTACACGTCTGCGCTGGCTCATAAATCCCGGCACATGTGGTTCCCATTTTATCTCTGTCGCATCTCCTCTGTGTTCATGACTGTTATAGATATGCTTATTAACATGTTTATAGCTTTAATTATAATTACTATCATTCTTCCATAAATCAGCAATTAGCTTTGGCCGCACTGTAATGTGGGTAATTCAATTTCTCTCTTCACTGCGTCCCTGCTTATTATAGGAAAGCACACTGAAGTTGCCTATTGTTGGTATAATTAACATTTTTGCTGTTTCCTGCAGGGAACAGAGGGGACAGCTGCATCTCTAGTGTAACATTACACCTGTATGTCTCTGTGTGTGCAATTAAATTACATACCTGTGATGTTTTGCTGTGCCTTTAGAGCTGCTGGATGGCATAGTGGAGATGTTGCAGGGTGGAAAGCTGGACTCACAGACATTTCCCTGGCGAGACTGGGAGGACCGTTTGCAGTACTGTGGAAACAAACAAGAAAACAACAAAAGTTACATACGTTTTTGTAGGATGTTTTGAAGAATCCTATCAAGATGTCAAAGACCTGGATTCAACCATGCAATACAAAGTGTTCCCACTCAGAATAAATCTCCTCCTCCTTCACAAGCAGGGTATTTTGAGATTTCTTCTTCTATTAACCCCAACTCTTGCTCACACACTGAGAACCTCGGGGGTGGGAGTTCCTACTGCCTTGATTCTGGGAGCTGACTGTCAGACTAAATGGAGTCGAGTTACATCTATTTCCACCCTTTTCCACCTTCCTCAGCATCATTCTTGCCTTTTCTGTACTTTGTGGCGAGCAGAGGGAGGCTGCTGACAGCTTGATAAAACCAAGAGCATTAAGGCTTCCGGTTGTGTCACAAATCTTCTAGCATCAGTGAAGTGTGGCAACTACACTAAGGTCCAGACTTGTCAGTGATGGCTGAATATGTTTCAGCTGGCCCACAAAAAAGTGAGAGCCTACCTGGGAAGAATTGCTGCACTGTGAAAGTATTTATGATGTTTTAGGTAAAAGGCAATTGCCATATATGGAACATTTGTTTTCAAATGTAAGTTACTCTACCATGCCACAGAAGACTGTTTTGACAAACTGCAATTTACATTGCAAATTTTTGAGTGGCCTTTTATTGTTGCCAGCCTAAGGCACACCTGTGCAATACCCATGCTGTCTGATCAGCATCTTGATATGCCACACCTGTGAGGTGGATGGATTATCTCGGCAAAGGAGAAGTGCTCACTAACACAAATTATGACAGATTTGTAAACAATATTTGAGAGAAATAGGCCTTTTGTGTACATAGAGAAAGTCTTAGATCTTTGAGTCCAGCTCATGATGAATGGGGGCAAAAACAAAAGTGTTCTGTTCAGTGTAACAAGAAAATATAATCTAAGCACATAAAAGGTTATTTTCATTGGTGAAATGATGAGATCTTGACCATTTGCAGCACAGAAATTAACATCATCATTTAATAACACAACCAGCTGCTCACAATTTGAAGCTGAAGATATATGTTTCACAGCCTTAAATAAAAACTGACTTTGTGCTAAGAGCCTTTATTGCGATGTATACATGCCCATCATTGCATATCAACCCAGTTCTCTGTTTGATCTTTTCAATTCAAGTCTCATTAGCATTAAATAAGGCAGAAATACCATGAAATAAATTATTATCAAGCCACTTTCAAAGTCTTGATTCATCACAGCGGGGAAAGTTGATTTGTAAATCTATGCAATTAGATCTCAGTGCTTCTTTGTACAGTGGAATATCAGGAAACAGGATAAAATGGAGTCTCAGATGTTTACAAAAACAGCCTATGTGTTTCATATGGGTGGATGCCATTTATACAGCTCTCATTACTGACAGAAATACTTTCACTTGGCTTGTAATATCAAATGAAGTGGTCATGGTACTTTGTCCACCTCCTGTACTCTGAAACAAAAGTTATGGCTCATCTTTTGCCTCTTTTGTGAACAAGTCACTATGGTGCTCTCTGACCAGATTTATCACGTCATTCATTTTGTTCAGAAATGCAGAAATGCATTCTTCCTATAGTTATACTGTATATATTTCTCTTTATTGCTTTCCATTCCTTTTGAATCTCTTCCCCATCCAGGTTGATCTGTGCTTCATCATCTATCCTTCCTTCTTTCCTTCTGGTAGCCGTCATGACAAGAGATCTAAATCAGCACTACTCTGGTACTATGTAAGTCCCAACTCTCTTTATGTTCGCCCCATCTCTGGAGAGGCAAATATGCAATGAAACAAAGCAGTTCTTTGTTCTGCACTTCACAATACAGTTGACAAGGCAGACTCAGTCAGCTGCACAGCAGCAACGATCTGCTGTGAACTCCTCAAACGAACACAGGACAACACAAGAAAGTGTTTTAGACTTTAAACTTTAAACGCCTTAAAGATGTAAGGAGAGTGGTGTTGGTTTGATCTATTACACAAACCTGCCTGTGGTTTGCATCTATATGGCACTGACAGTTGTCTCTCTTCAGCATTATCTCAGCATCGTCTAGACTTTTGTAACATAAGGTAAAAGAGACCGATTTTTGTGCAATTTCTTCCTCCAAAGTAATTTTATGTCTTTTCTTTACGTAAAGTTCTGAGCTTGAAGTCTGACTTACAAGTGTGTCACTAACGCAATCCCTTTTTAGAACCCTCTGCTGGACACCAGCCTCATTAGTGTCACCCATGCTGCCATAGTTATGTGACCATTCAAACGTTTGAAGGCTGATTTGTACTTATAAGATCATGACATACTTTCTTTTTTTACTTGAATTGATACTATACTTTCTGTAGACTACCATCTCCACTGAAGCGGGAATGTAGATAATTACAAAGCAGGTTTATCAGCAGCACCTGTGAAACATGTAATTGTGACCCCTGGACTCAAAGTCTCACCCTCTGCTGCTTCAATATATTAATTTGTCTCTTGTGAGTCCCCCAACTTTGCAATCCTAAATTGCTGGACTACCCCTTTAATTAACAATGCACTGAGTGATATTGTACGATAATAAAAATACAAATACACAGTTTTAATGTATTGCAATATATCTGAGGGAGTGAACAGTCCAATCCAACACCACCCTGTTGCTTATCTGTCTGTGTTCTAACTCTAATTTCTTCCATCTGTGTTCACTCTCTGGTGTTCTGACACCATGCACATCCAAGCTGCTAATTGATACAGAAGCTTGCAGTGAAAAGCCTGTGATGAAACAGAAAATATGATTTTTTGTTTTTTTTTTTACAGCAAGACATTATGCTACAATTATTCAGAGAGAGAAAGGATCTGTTAATGCTCACATGTGCTGTTAATTAATTCATGATTAAGAAGAAATGTATGACATTATAATCACTCCTGGAAGTTCCAAGTTCACTGACTTAACAATGCTTTGCTTTTACAGTTACAGACAGAAAAAAAGTCTTGTATTTAACTTATTTAACCATTATAGACAAATAAAGCGTTCTGCCTACCAGCTCAAAGAGAGAAAAGTGCCACCAATCTGTTAATGCCGACACTGCATGCATTTTGCTGCAGTTTGAAAATAGATTTAGGCTTTAAAAAGACTGCCCAAGGAAAAACCGGAAACTGCCTGCATGTGTCATACAGCACTACTGAATGTTTATAGAGGTCATTAATATAAATGTAATGCTTTCTCGCACAGCTGCAGGCAAAGAAACTCTGCTCTCTAGTTCCATAAACATGCACAGATACAACAGGCAAAAGTAATCATTGCTTTGACAGTGACTTCATTGAGTCTGGACATTTGTGGTGCAAAGGGAGCACGTAATGTCGTATATTAATGGATATATGTGTGTGTGTGTGTGTGTGTGTGTGTGTGTGTGTGTGTACTGTAATGGATGCTTTAATCTCTAAGATAGGGACTAGAATACACCATATGCCTCTGGCACTGAGGGTTTTTTTTTAACACTGACAGACTATAGGGAGGGAACCAGGAGATGATTTTTATGATTTGTGCAGAGATGCTGGCATCAATAACAGTATTATAAACACACAAACCTAAGCTTAGCAGAGTAGGATCAGGATAGTCTTGTTCATGATAGAGACAGAGCAGTTTCAATTATGCCGCAATGACAGACAGACTCTGTGGAAAACCTGTAGAATACATGATAGGGTGGTAAAACTAATTGAGAGAGAAAGACCAGCTCTGTCAGAGCTGCTCTTTAGTTCACTTCCTAATCAAATACTTCCCACAAAGGGCCCCTGTAGTGCTAATCATAAGTGCTCATTTCGTATAACAGGCCACTGCTGGATAATCCTACTGCCTTCATCTTGACCTGCCCGGTTATGTGTAGTGTTTATCTACATGTACATGTGCTTAGATGCAACAACAAAAAAAGTACAAATCCCTATTAAAGTTAGATTAGAAACACAGAAATGTAACAAAGAGTGAAAGAAATTGAGCATAACACCCTGCTGTGTATGACACTTTTGTGAGAGTGCATGTTCCCAAAACAGCATTGACCCTGTGCTTGTTGCTTTGTGTTCAGACATTTTGGAAATTGATTGCCTGCAGACAGAAATCAATGTGATTCTGGGTGTGTAGGCACAAAATAAACAAATACAATTACTTATTTTATGTAAGTTTCCCAAAGGCTCCTGTAGAAAGTAAATAAATAAAAGATTTTTCTAAAGCAACATTTAAAGATCAAGCTTGTTTTTCTCAACAATACATTTTGTAGTCAGTAAACAATAATCAGTAATTCATGAGCTAGGGCTAATAGAGCAATTAGCAAAATAATAGCCAAAGGACTACCTTTAAATTGTAGTTTAAAAGACAAATGGCCCCTGTGCCTGTTATAGTATTATATATTCTATCATTAGATTTGCATTACTCATGCATTAATGTTAAAGCAGGAATTTACTGTTGCAGTTGGTTGAAGTGGAGCTCATTTTAAACTATTTTGTATCAGACTGCAACTAATAATTATTTTTCATGAAGGATTAATCTGCTGATCATTTTCTCCATTAATCAATTACTTCTTTGGTTTGTAAAAATTCTGAAAATAGTGAGAAATGCCGTCACAATTACCCACAGCCCAAAGTGACACCTTCACGATGCTTCTTTTGTCCAACCTCAACGTTATTAAAACTGCATTAAAATTATTGAAAAAATCAAAAAGCAAAAGCAGCAAACATTTACATTGAAGAAACAGGAACAAATAAACGTTTTTGATTAAAAATAATTTAAATTGCAAGTGAATTTTTGGTCATCTGACTAATTAATTGACTAATCCTTTCAGCTGTACTTATAAACTGTTGGGTGGTTTACAAAACATCATATTTTATAAACTCTTCATATGTTTTGTGTGTAGTAACAACATCTGTAAGATAAATCTGACACATTTGTATTGTATAAAACTTTCGTCCTTAAGTTACAAATGCAGTAAAGGCCGCCAGTGAACCTAAATCAGTTAAGGGTCGTAGATCAAAAAGCATAACTTTTGTGGGTTAGATTTTATGTTCTGAGTTAAAGGAGGCATGAATGAACATTTTGATTTTGACCCACTCCAGGTGGCTAAATTCACATCCATTATAAAGTCTCAAAAACTCTAAAAGGTGTATAAACCTAAACTGTGATTTCTCAGAAAGTATGAAAAAGATCTTATAAAGTTGAAGCGAACTGATAGAGTACAGTGACCCATTTAAAGTTCCTAGCTCTAAGTAGAAAAGGAAGGAGTTTAAAGAGCAATTGGTTTGAACATTCATCCCGTTGACTTTCATAATAAGAAAAGTAGAAAAGAGATTACAAAAAATATGAAAGACACGAAAGTAAAAAGTAACAGCAATAATGTCCCAAAGGGCTAAACATTGGAAGAGTTTCAAGTTAAAAGTCCAAACATGTTTTAGTTGAGTGCCAATAAATTTCTCTAGAATAATAATGAGAAAGAAGAACAGTGGTCTCAGTGCATACAATAGCTCTCCTTCTTATCAATAACTGTTGATGTTTTCTATAGTATCTGCACATTAAAGAAGTGATATATCTGTTATTCTAAGTTTCAGCACAAAGTTAGTGCAGTATAGTTGCACTAAATCTGTACATCACTTTGATTAGACCATTTCCAATTTTATGGCATATAATATCTAAATCCATCTAGAAGGTTTGGATTGCTGCCACCCCCTTGACTGTCATTAAAGTTTGGGAAGCCAGTTTGTTTGTCCTTGGCAGAGCAGCCAGCTTGAGGGTAATATGAGGAGGCACACCTGACACACCGTCTTTACAAACTCCAGCTTTTACAGATAACTTTTAAGCCTTTGTTAGCTCTGTCTCCAAGTTATATCTTAGATATCTGAACCTTTTGTGAACTGAATCTCAAGAACCTCATGCAAGTCTATTAGCTCAAGATTAAAGTTGACAGGGCCTGTCCAGTCCTGCTCCATCCAGACACTTTTACTTCTTTGACCTGTTGATTCAAGTTAGGCACTGAGTCATTTGATACAGTATATTGTCGCCTTATTGCCTGCATTTCAGAGGCATCTTGTGACCAGCCTGAGACATTAGTCTGTCTCAGTGAAATATGTTGAACATGTGCATCAGAAAGATGGATCATAATGCTTGTAGGGAAGGTAGAACTATATGAAGATACATCATTTATTTCGCAAGTCTCAGCATTGTGGAAGATTTCAAGGTCCTATTACAAAAATGACTCTACTCTATGTTGCCTCTGTTTTAAAAAAAATAGTTTGACAATTGACCCTTCGCTAAGCTACGCCCCTAATAGGCAATCACAGCGTACTATAGGTACTTTTTTTGCTGTATTTTTCCAAGATATGGTTAAATACTGTTCCTGGGGCTGTGGATTGTTCCTAATGTGATGTAAGTTAGCTAATGCTAGCTAAATTACTACTGAATGTAGTGTTATAAATCCCTACTGTTCTGCTTTTTAATGATTGTAATAGTGAATAGAGATCTACCCAGCTCTACAGGAACAGTGTTGATCCTTAATATCGTTGTCCTTTGTCTCAATCGTCAGGTGATACAGTGGTTTACTTTTACTCTGTGATCAGTAGCCTTTAGCTTCTGTCTTTATTTGTTTCATGTCAGTTTGACAGCCTGAATACAACCTTCAGATGTCTAATGCAAAAATTTCTGTCTCCTTTCTGAGATCACTTTTATAATTTTTCCAATAATTAGACAATATTTCTCCAGAGAGTGCAGATATTTCCGACAGTTTGTCTAACAGTTTGTCAGACTTGGCAACAGTAACTAAGGTGGGGCTTGGCTTACTGAAGGGTCAATTGGAGAAATATGTTTATTTGCTTTCTTGTCAAGTGGAAGATGAGTAGATCGATACCACACCCGTAACTTGTATGACAAATATGCTTAAATGGGATTGTCAGTTATCTTAATATTGCTTTAAGGTCTGTTTAAGTGGAAGCAACAAAACTACTTGAATAAGGTCTGGATAAGCGATTGCCTTCATGGTTGTAAGAAACCAGTAATGAAGATGGGATGGGAACTGTTGTCCCTGGTGTCAGAGTCTCTCACAAATGCATTTTTTATTTCCAACCAACTGCCTTGACCTCCCCCCTCTGACGTCAAATGACCAATGCCGATGTTGCTCTTCAGAGGTCAGTCTAGATTGCTCTTATACTGATGGGCCTGGTGAGGATGAATCAGGGAATAAATCAGGCAAATGTAAAACAAAGCTGTATCATGAACTACCACTGTGAATTGTAATTATCTCTATTTCACATAAAGGATACACATTTCTGTGCTTCTCCCACACAGTGATTTATCAATCAGGTGTATATTAATGTGTTGACAATAGGTAGAGAGTCCCTAGTGTATACAGTACATGTGCTTTGCTTCATTGTAAATTCAAATCATGCCCTTGGCGGAAACATACCATTTATCCAATGAAGCTTGATGTCAGACCTGTGTAGATTAGATAGGTAACTTAACATGTAAAATGACTAAAGCTTATTTACAGTATGCCTATTGGTGCACAAATGCATATAGTCCACCCCAAGATGAAGGGGAAAATGTAGATTTGACAGCAATACAAACTGTTTTCCATGCCAGCTACCTCAAGACGCACACCTGGGAGAGATTGTGATGACAAAAAGCGCTGAGAAGAAGATGAATGTCATGTAGCCAACACCGTGCTCCCAAACCGCTGAACGATTGCTCACTCAACGACCTGCGAGCCTGATGCAAGTGGCCAGGTTGATACAGGAATACACACAGATTCATATGCCGTTACAATTGCCGGGGGATGGGGTGATGCATTTTATGATAGATGCTAATACACTGAGTTGTTCTATGTGTACTTCATATGTCTGATTTGTGATAATCTCAGATGTACCAGATATCAAATTGTGAGTGTTCTAAACAATAAGTTATTTTACTTTTGTGCTAGTGGCAACTAATGGCACATTAAAAGGTTAGTTTTCTTGGTGATGCTGTATAAAACCGAATATGGTCTTTGAAATGACAAATATTAAGGCCCACCCATTTTAAAATCTTGATGATTCTTAACCACAATAGACTGAAGTTAATGTCATCCTAGTTATACAGTCTTCTAAACATCAGTCTTAAAAGAAATGGACTGGGACCAAAATGAACGACACACTAAAAGGCAGCAAAACAACAGTAGTCACCTCGTGCATTTGCAGGTTGGTGTTAGGCGCCCTCATCTTGTCATCCAGGGCATTATGGGAATTAGCAGTGTAGTTTTTCAAACTACGACTCTCCTTCAGGTGGGCCTGGAGCTTCTCTCTGCGCCTCCTAAAGAGAAAGAAATTAAGCACAAGTGGAATTTATTTCAGGAGCACTTTGACCACTGTCAGCTGGATCCTGTGTAGGTCAGCAGGTTTTCAACATAACCAATCAGTAAATAATGTCAGTGATAGCTGAATGATCAAATGGTGTTACGGTAATACCAAGCACGACGCTCCCGGTCTGATATTCAAAGCCAATGCAGAAGTCTCTTAAACCTGCATTCTATCAAACAGCCAGCAGGGGGCGACTCTTCTGGTTGCGAGAAGAAGTATTTTGCTCCATGATCCAGCTCCATTATTTCTAATGGAGCTGGATCATGGAGCAAAATGACCCTACTTCTCAGCTGATGTATTCCCTCAGTAAACACTTTCCTAATGAGTTTATGGTCTCAGTCGCTGGTTTCAAGTCTTCTTCAACACAGCATGATGTTCATTTAGTAAATTATGGTCCCATTTAGAGGAAAATAGACCATAAAGCAGAGTCTGCTTCAGCACAGGATTATCTATAACTGACTAGTAAGAAATTGAGCGTAATAATTGAGCGTTACCATGGCGACATGTCAGTCAGGTTAGTACGAGTGACTTGTACCCATGACCTTGTAAATTTAACTAGCGCCATTGAAAAATGCACCTAGCTAAGCAAGCTAGCTAGCTCCACACACGCCCGTTAGCTCCACTGTCTATTCCAAATGTGGTCACGTCCGGTGTCGCTGGTTGCAAAAAAACAACATGGCGGCGCCCTATCAGCCAAACTCGAGGCTTCAAAACGGTAGTCCACAAACCAACGGCTGACGTCACGATGACTACGTCCACTCCTTATATTCAGTCTATGGGTAGCACTGGTTTTGAGTTGCTAAACTGTTCACAGGTTGCTTTCACATCCATCCTTCGTTAGCATCACATTAGGCTCTCAAAATGACAAGACTCCTCAGTGTCATAATTATATTCTGCAATTAACATTCCCACCATGTCCCACCTGTAACTAGTCTATAATCTTTGCTCTTATTAATTAACAACAGGAGCCTTGGGGCAAACAGCAACTCACAACAAGTTTGAAAAAATGAGCCTCTGTTTCAGAAAGAAATGACGCAGATGTGCAATATCACAAATGTACTGTTTAGGGGACTGTGCTCTCTACCGTCACTTTGGTTTCACCCTGACAAAACAGTACAAAACATGAAACCAAGCCCAAACCAGGCCAGATTAATTCTGAGATTTACACAGTAGTCAATGAACAAATGATAACGATAGTCTGGCTGGCTGTCTATTCTAGCCAATAACTCACTAGCTACCCTGCTTCTTCAAATGATCAACATGTTGACATGTCACAAATATAACATGTGTTCTTAATTGAAGTCATAGATGGGACCAATTAGTGATTCCAATAGTATCTTGAAGCTAACAATGTGCAGTTTATGGAAGTTATTATTACAGTATTGTATTAAAAACTGTAATAGCAAGCATACAGGATAGATTACAGAATCAATCATTTTGGTTTCTTTTCAATGTTCTAATACAAATCTACTTTATACACAACTAAGTCTAAAGACACAATTTAAGGGCCTATATTCCAATTTACTTTTCTAAATATCCATAATATCCTATGTATTTCTTATAAAAGGCACTGCGGAGAATCTACAAGATTTTCTCCCGACATAGATAAAATGAGTCAGTGGCCAATGAGAATTGCATCATAGTCTCATGTCCTTGAGCACAGAGAAGAAGAAAGTAAGCTATTGACCAAAGGAGCTCTCTATTTGTATTTCTCCTTTGTTCCTCCCTAAGCAGTATAACAAGACATAAAACATAGTATTCTGTTTATATGATGGACCTTGACTCCATTTAATGATTTCTGTAAAGATGTTTTGAGTCTAAACTCTTCATTTCTCAGATGTGCTGTTATTTAAAGTGGTTGAATCAGAATGGTTTGTAATTTATATTGCAAAGTCACCAAAAGACTTGAAGTCACTGACTGGAAAACAAATTAGTTTGACCCTAATCTTGCATAGACCGGACCTGACTCATGAGGTCTAGAGATAATCATGTAAGAAGAAGTAGAATAATTAGACCTTGTGGAGCAGGACGTTGAAATCTGATTTATCCCATTTAATATATTCTGGTTTGTTTTTCTGACCGGTGTACATTATATAAATGTTCTCATTTATTACAACACTAGTTACCCAAGCTTGTGCAATTACACTGACCTGGATGAAAATGCACTAAACCCTTTTATCTCTGCTTCATTCTGTTGTGCCAGAGGTATGCTCATTATCAGATATAGCCAATGAAGCCTTTACTGTTCCTGTCTCGGGAGCTCTCTGCTGAATGACAGCGATGTAATGAAGTGTTTACAAACAGCCTCATGGTAAGCTCCTATCCTCTCCACCTCCGTGGCACTTTAATTATATTTTCTTAGCAACATTTGGTAGACACTACTTTTAGAAAAATGTTCACTTAATATGAAAGGTCCATTATCTCTTCTAAAGCCTTGACACAATCTGGTTGTTTAGTTGATGTTTTAGCTTGAAAAATGGTATGCTTTCTCTAGATGATAGAAGTAAATGCTTTTATGCCACACAAAAACAAAATCAGACTTGTTTGAATGATGTGAGTAGCATACAACATCACCAGCTTTGTGTAACCAAACGGATCTCCTGTATTTATAACCCAAGCTACATTTGATTAGGGAAATATGGTTGTGTGTATGAATGGGTCTAAGAGAAACAACCTAATACCGTTTTGTATTAGTCAGAACCCTCAGTTTGACAATCTCACAGGTCATGTTGCTCAAAAATTGGTCAGCACCTACTTACACTGTTATGTCTTATAATTATTTTGGTGGGAACTGTATATCTTTATTAGATAGAGCCAGTAAAGTAATGACAGGAAATGGAGAGAGAGAGATACAACACAGGCCCTCTGGAAGAAGAACCATGAATGTTGCAGTCGATGTATTCACCCCTAAACAACTCGACGCCCATTTTTCTTATTAAAAACTAAACAGCCCATTGTCCCTAGAAATTATATCCATATTCAACAATTCTTTTTTTCTTTATGTACTTAGGCAGATTGTAAAGGTGTGGTGGTCAGGGCAGTGAATGGATGTGTAGCGAGCCCACCTTTCATGCAGGAGACTGGAGCGCTCCTCCTGTCACAGACCACTAATTAATTTTCATATTATGAACATTATGAATTGTAGCCATGATCACTCCCTAACCTTAACCAAATGATGTTGTCCACCTGTACTGGAACCATAATGTATTTTCCACAACCACGATTTTACCTTAACGATACTGTAATTGACATACAAAGTTATTGCTGAACCGCAATTGTAAAACCGTTGGCAGTGGGCTCAATTTGGGGTTTTGCTCAATCATTAAATATTGACATTCTTGTGTGATATCTACCCAAACTCATGTGTAACACTTTGCAGTATTAATTTGTTCATTAGAGGAGCTAAAATTAGTCAAATAACTGATCTGTGTGTTAATGCGGTGATGCAGTCTTTTTAAGGAGTAAAAATATAGCAGCATGTTGTCATTCTACTATAAATTAGTATATAATAATACAGTTTAAATCATACGAAATAATGTGCAGTCTGTCTTTATCAGACAATGGCACATTTCCCTTTTTGGTGTCTTTGTCTTACAGCATGTTAGATTTTTGGTTAAACAATGACTATGAGGTTAAAGTGATATCCATATCAGATGAACTGAATAAGAATTAACCCTTTTAGAAAACACAATGTATTTAGACAACATAAACTTGAAGCTTACATTTGATATTGGGTGAGTTTTGGAAGTTTACATGACCCACAGACATCAACAGCCTCTTATTCTGGGTCTGGTACTGCAGCTTTTTGCCTTCAATTTAGTCTTGAGAAAGTGAGTAGCGATCACAATAAATATCTCCCGTATTCACAAACGTACGGCAGCATTGTTTTACGACCCTATGGAATTCCATGGAGAGTTAGAAAAAAGCCTCCTCCTGAGACTCCTCCAGATCTGCAAAACTGACTTCTCCTCTCCCCAATAGTTAAATGTGTCAATTTGGAGACCTGCCAGACAAGACAAGAACTTTCCACTGCTGAGAAAATATGTCTTGTCAAGATAACAAAATCCCAGCAAGATGTGAAGAACCACAAACTGACTCTTTTCGCCGAAATCAAATAAAAGAAGAGAATGTACGGACCACATCTTCTTCTACTTTCCTCATCCATCACCCACCCACACACATGCAAACATAAACACCCTTTCTCTCTTTCTTCTCACCCCCTCTTCTGACCTGAGATAAGGCTCGACAGATGCCTATTATAAAAGTTGAAACTGATATTCTTCCTTTTCAGCCAGATCTGAATTAATTTAATTCAGCTGTCTAACTAATCAATAATTCAGCTAACATTTCATAGCACCTGTTGTCTTGATGTTTAACCCAACTTTTTATTTTTTGCTGAAATTAAATGAGCAAGTTCTTAATTCTCAGAATTAACATTTTGTTTACCATGTGACACTGCCATCTACTGACCAAAGGACAGAAATCTCTTTAACCATTGCCGTTATGAATCTGCATAAGATATTAGCTATTATACTGTAACTATGTTGTTTTAGTATTAAAATGTATGTTTTGACAGTTAAAGTTGTAAGAGTTGCTGGCTAAACTGTGTTTCTCTGAATGTTTTCTTTTAATCACTATGCTAGTTTTATGTTTTGGATCAGGACTGATTGACCATAATGATGTTTCAGAGTATGTGAGTTTTGCAGAGACCAACTTAAATTAAAATCACTAGTCAGTTAACTAGAAAAGACCATGTTAGCTTTACAACACGTGGCCCTTAAGACAAATGGAGTTTTGTTTTTGGAGTGAAAACCTTCCTCCATACCCAAAACTTTTCCTCTAGTGTTCTTAGACATCTTTCTTTAAGTTTCTTTTGTGCCTCATCTAAAGTCAGCGCACAATTTAACTATTTAACTAAGCAAGCCTTTGAATTTTGTTTTATCTGCCCAGATATTATAAGTCTAGCTGAAGAAGTTGGTGTAGTCAGATATTGTTTTATTCTAAAACCAACTTGAAACCCCGAAAAAACAGCTCATTTTGCCAAATGTAACCGCAGCTGTTCCTTGAGTTACTGGTGTCTGACTTGGTGAAGTGACTGACTTGGATGGCCCCAACTCTTCGATTGCCTTAACTGCATGTTTAGGATCATTGTCTTGCTGCTGTGTCCCAAAATTGGGGGACTACAAAAAAAACACCCAGATATCACCAAACATGGATACCAACACCCTAAACACACTTAAAACTTAAAGTCAGCACTTTAACCTTTTGTAGGAGAGACAAAAAGGAAATAATGTGTCGCCCCACTGCCCAGCATGTTGCCCTTTAAAGATCAGTGACAACAGCATGCACTGGCGAACCATTGTCCTTCATTTAGCTGTATTTTTGTTTGGGCCTTTTGACTTTATCTTAATTCAGGTCATTAAGATTTACATGAACACTTCTTTCAGATCTGTGTGCACCTTCTCCGTTGAACAAGCTAGTTCCCTGACTCAGTTACAGATTCATTGAAAGCCTGTCCATCATGCCTTGATCCGATTATCTTGTTGTCAGGCTGCTCACTGACTCACACCATTATATCACAGAGGGAAGCATATGGAATTACTGTGCCATCTATCACAGCCTACTCCACAGTCCACATACACTGAATGACAGTCTGCTGTTGCATACTGGATGTTTGACCCCTTCTATTAAGTATACAGAATCTCTCCAGCCAAGTTATGCAGAATTCTCACAGCCAGGAATGAATGTTAGCCATTCATATTCCCAATTAATGTGCACACACAAAGCATGCACTGCGGAAATATGGAGATTGGAAGAGAGGGACAGAAAGGAGAGAGAGAGAGAGAGTGCAAGGAGCCACATGAGCTGACCTTTGGGTTATAATGGCCTATGAATATGTGTGTGCACATAATGAGATTTACAAATTGTTGGAAATACCTGGTCTGGGATTTTGTTCAAGATGTTCAAGATGTTTGATGCCGCAACATGTTCCATTGGGCTTCACTAAATTGAAAAAATGTCTCCTTGGGCATTTTGTCCCAGCTAGGCTTATTATCAAATACTGTAACATTCTGCTTACTTTAGGACTCATGACAGATTTTACCATAAATATTATCAAAGTCTGTATGAAAGTTTGAAAATCTTGAAGAAACTTTCAGTAAGCAAGAGAACTGATGGCTGGGATGAAATTACATGTCACTGCAGCTAATTTATCTGTCAATATATTCATGAGAAAATTCCATATGCTGTATTTGTGCATGGCTGGAAAAATGGAATCCATTTAAGAGTTGGGTGAAAATGCCCAATTATAGTCCTTATCCTTTATGTATGTGCGTGTGCCTCGCCATTGATGTGTGAAAGTCTCTTTACATAAATTTGTGTTACCCCTTACCTTAATCTAAACCCAACCAGCAGTAACCCAAACCACTCATCTTTGACACGTAACCATAAATTAACCTGAGCCCTAATCTTATCCATGGAGGGCGATTGTTGTTGTAGTTGTTCAGTGTCCTTATTAAAGCAGTACTTGGTAGCGATTGAACATGCAATGCAAAACCTTCCACGTCTCTCTCGTATCACTCTGCTAAGCTCAGCCCGCCAAACCCAGAAGCGGGAGCCAGTTGGCCTACAAAATCTAATCCTGCTAATCCCACGTAGGACTCGCTCTCAGGACCCTGGTCCCTCTCGCTGAACCTCGTCTTCTCAAAGATGCCCTTCCAACGCTTCACGAGCCAGGGCAGATTTCCCCAGGCTTCAGAGGCAGCTGCAACAACGTCTAATACCAGGATGAGAGGCTAGTACACCACTGCTCCAAAGTTATTCCCCACTGTTTGTCTTCATGCGTCTTTGCCACTCGCAATTACGAGCGTCATAGCATCAAACATAATGAGCCCGAAGCTCTGTGTGTTGCTGGTGGTTGTTCCTCAGCCACTGTGTTTGCAAAACTTCTGAAGCCTCTGAAGATATTGAGCTTGACTGAGGGAAAGCATGCGAGGAGGGGGGGCTGTGCAGCGTTTGCACGAGCAGTGATTAACACTGTGTTAGGCACTGCTCCTGGCTCTGATGGGTTGGTTAATTTCGACTTGGGTCTTTGTAGTTGTGGTCATCATTTTTAATATTTATGATAACATTGTAATCACCAAAGTAATTGGGATCTGGAAAAGTGGTGATATACATCAAACAAGACAACGATTATGTGTGGTCAGACAATTAGAGATGATGTAATTAAACCAATAGTTTTGATGTATATGGATACGTATGTTTTTTATGTTAATCCTCTTACTTGTTGCGGCAGTAGAGGGCCATACACAGGGTTCCCAGAAGGCTGATTGCCATGGCGATGGATGTGATTGACAGGACCTGTCTCTTGTACACCTCTTTGCTCTCTGTAGGGACACAAAACAGATGAAGGAGCCACATTAATGTCTGAACAACACGCACTTTGGAAATAAAGTCATAGATCACTTACATATCTATCAACATGTGTGTATGAGAGACATAGAGGAAGGTAAAGATGTGGGGTTTTGTGAAAATGTTTGGGTGTGTTTTAATGTGTGCTCATCTGATGAGATCCCACAGTCAATATTCACAGAGACAGAGTTAGTACTTAATTAATACTATACAGAAATCTCACCATAACACATAATTAAACATGGTTTTGAGGTTGGTATTTAACAAAGTTCTAATATTGTTCTTTGCAGCACCCAAACAGCCATTTCAAATCAACCAGTTGTGGTGCAACAGCTCTCTGTGGGGTTTTTTCTGCCTTGCAGATTCTTTCCTGTACGAGTGTAATTACCTTTGTGATAAATTGACTAAATAAAACTGAAATAAAATAACAACTCATTTCAACTCATCAACACATTTACAATACACAAACATCTATTTACAATCCTCCAGCAACACCTGCTATTCTTAGTTACCGCATATCCTTTCAGCTCATTTTATCAGCTCTACCGCATCGAGTAATGGTCCAATAGACGCCGACTTCTTTTGAAATGGATGCCACATGTAATGGAGCTTGAATACATGGAGACAAGAAGAGTTATGGCGTGGACGGACACCATTAGTGGAGAAAAATGGAAGCTGTCTTGTTTGCTACGAACAAGTAAATCATAGTTGCCTTCAGATACATTAATAGGCGATCAATCAAGTTTTATTTAGTGAGGCTCAGACCTTGGGAAAGCATGAAGATGACACAAGTTGTTGGAATTTGACATTGAGGTGATTGAGACAAATTTTTACTGAAGATAGGTTTGAATGGCCACTTTAGTACAAAAAGAAAAACTTTACAGCTGCTTCCTCAGTGTGTAAGCTGAGAAAATCACTGCCGCTGCAGAATATAATAATAACCTTCTTAGGTACAGAGCAACACAACTGTAGCCACTGTGTCTTGCTCAAGGGCATCCTAAAAGCAGCCAATGAGGGCTAGTGTTATTAATTCATGACTACGTCAAGGTTTTCAAGCCTGTCTGGGAATTCAAACCAGGGATCTTTTACAGCGGAAGCCTTTACGCTACTGATGGCCACACAGATATTGCATAACCAACCATACATGCAGTATGTCATACATCATTTTTGAAAAAAAACTGCTGTCACGGAGTCTATTAGTGCGTTGTCAGTGCACGTTTTCCACGTGTAAATTTAGTGGGCTTTATTGGTATGGAAGTTTCAAAAACAGTGTTTCCCAATTATCAAAAGATAACATGCTCTTTGGAATGGAGGGTGTCTTGGGGGCTGGATTTAAGGTAATTAAAAAATCCGAGTGCTCTCTTTTGAATGTTAATTATGTGGGTATCTGACTTATTCTGCTCTATATGCATTTGTTGGTGTTTTTCTGTGGACATTTAAAATGTATCATCAGAATTCTGCATGTAAACATTCTGTTGGATGTTTGTCCCAAAGGGTATAGCTCTGATGACTGAATTGAGCACAATGGGCTGGACCTTTCCTCTCTTCTGCGTTCCTATTTCTCTCCCTCCATCTATGTCTAAGTTATGTTTGGGGCCAGCACTGTTTTGATGCCGCTAATCAGCCTGAGTCATCACATTGGCTCATCGGCTATAATTATATCATTAGAGGGAGCTGGGGGCAGTCCTACGGGGGCAAAGTGAGGTCGGTTGCAGAGAAGGCAGAGAGAAAAACAGGCAGAGCAGGAGAGAGAGATGGGAGATAGAGAGAGAGGGATGGGGAAATAGAAAAAAGAGAAATGAGGTGGAATAAGATAGGGAGGTGCAGAGGGGAGGCAGGATTTTGTAAAGATGCAGTGATACCTCGTTTTCTCTCCTGATACAGATTACTTTTATCGTAAATTCAGGGTATTGACTGTGTACTGATCTGATACTGCTCCCTTTACCCTTTTTTGGGAATAAAAGGCAAAAGGCTGATGGAGTCCCGAAGGGACTTAGACTTCTTGTGTATATACACACACACACACACACACATATATACACACATATATATACACACACACACATGCACACACAGGGCAGGAAAAAGTATGTGAACCATTTGAAAATACCTGGATTTCTTCAAAAATTTGTCATAAATGTGATCCGATTTCTTGATATACTTTGAAATTCCTTTTTTTCTGTAGATGATAGCAGCCCTTCCTGGCCCTGAGGCAGTGAAGCAGCCCCATACCATGATTTCCCCTCCACCATACTTTACAGTTGTGCTGTGCCTTTTTCCCTCCACACATAGAGTTGTGTGTTCCTTCCAAACAACTCAACATTAGTTTTATCTGTCCACAGAATATTTTGGCCGTACGGAACATTCAGGTACTCATTTGCAAACTTCAGACATGCAGCAATGTTTGTTTTTGGACAGCAGTGGCTTCCTCCATGATGTCTTCCAATGAACCTCATTCTTGTTTAGTGTTTTATGTATCGTAGAGTCGTCAGACATGTTAGCATGTTCATGATTTCTTTAAGTCTTAAGCTGATTATTTTTAACCTCAGGGTGCATTCTGCGCTGCGCGCGCACACACACAGGAGTTTAACACACTAGAGTTAGGGTTGAAAACGATCAGTATATAGTTAGACTTATGTTATATATGCATACACCATGCATGGTGTGAGGACAATCATGAATACTATGTTGCCAAGGTCAAGAAGTATTTCATCCTCCCTCCCTCTCCCATGTGTTTGTTTGGACACACCTTCTGCTTGCACAAACACACTGTCTTGATGTGAATAAATCATATGGCTCAAGAGAGAAAAAGTATGTTCATATTCCATCTGTGGGTCCATGAGGTCACATCCTCAGTCTATTTTCGCTTCAAACCTCCAGCTCTGCCCTGCAGAGCGGTGCTGGTTGCTTATTCACGGCAACATTATAAAAAATATGATTAATATTTTACACTAAAGCAGATAGCAGCACTGTTATAGAGGTGTTGCTGTGACCTTTTGTACTTTACACATGCATTCTGAATATGTTTGCAGCAGACATGTTTCCATACAGGTGAGATGGCAAGATAAAGAGAAATCAATAAGTGATGGAGTAAGTGGTGCAATATGCTTGCCTTATATACAATAAAGATCAAAGCCTTTAGCCTGTCTTTAGTGCACCGTTTATTATTCATATTGCTTAAAGAGGTGATATTATGCACATTTTCAGGTCTTAAAAATCTTATTTAGGGGTTGTACCAAAACAGGTTTACATGGTTGAATTTTCAAAAAACACCATGTTTTTGTCATACTGCTCATTGCTGCAGCTCCTTTTTTCACCCTGTGTGTTGAACGCTTCACTTTAGAGTGATACATCTTGTCTCTAAATGATCTTTGTTGGGAGTTGCACATGCACAGTTCCTAGTTAAGGACTACTCGCCAATCAGAAGCAGAGAAGGACGAGTCAGCGAGAAGCAATATCCAAGTTACTCAGGATAATCTACAGACCTCACTGCTGTTTTCTTAGGAACAGCTTTCTACTGAATATTGACTGTAACTGTATGGCAGTAGAACTCTCTAAGACATATCTCAAAACCTGGCAAAATGAAACTTAAACTTTATGCAGTGCTTTATAGCGCCTCCTGGTAATGCAGAACATCATATTTGGTGAATTGACCTTTTCAATTTTCCAAGAGCCTAGGTTTATAGAAGTTGTACAGGAATCACCAGCTCTCTGTCATAAAAAATACAAACAAACACTTATAGAACAGTCAAATAGTTGGTGACAGCACAGACACAGATGCTCACACACGTATATAAAGGCTGACGACAGGCTATGGCGCTTGGCAGTGTTACAGCACATTGGTTTCCATCATTAGCAGATTTTCCCCTCATATTTGGGCTCACATTCTGACATTGTTCCATTAGGCTTGACTGGGTTGCACTCAAAAAGCATTTTTCATATTAGGATATCTTAAATAAATCACAAGCACACAGTAAATCACAGGCAGGTAATTCATTGATATTTATCTAATGTTTTTGGACATGGATGAGTCAGACTGCTGGCAAGCACTGACACTGTCAAGGTCTGTTGCAGATATTAGGTTAGGGTTTTATAAATTGTGTTGCATTTGTACAATTATGAATTAAACCGTGGCCTCCAGTTTGAGGGAAGTTAAGTTTAATGTTTAGTGGCAGCACATTGGAATTGGTTCAAGGCGGACATAGTGGCAGAATTCACATGACAGTAAAGGACTTAAATGGTGAGTTTTGGTTTACTGCTACACATTCAATCACAGTGGCATTTTTGCTACTGGTAGATAGAACCTTAATCACAGCTAATCTTAATATTATTTCAGATGAATAAGATTTCAAGTTCTGTTAAGATATGCAGTCTCCAGACAGATCAAGTATCATCAACCAGAGGCACAGCTCACTCCTGCTTGAAAATAATTATCCCCAGATGTCATGGTGTGTCATATTCATACATTTATCGACAGGGACACAGAAAGTATCCATTTGTAGTGACTTACACTCACATTATTCATTCCTACTTTGATATTTCAAATGATTTATTAATGATTTTATCAAGCTTTATCTTTTTCCTCAATTCTGTATCTTGTGTGCATAACTGCACTTTTGCTGTAGTACCTCAGCAGTGAGTATTTTCTTCTGATGGAATACTTTAAATGTAAGGATGACTGGATTTAGCTGTCATGGGCAGTAATGGTTAAGTAAATTGCACACTGTCTGCAGTTACCACCCTCATACAAGAGGCGTAGAAGTAGAAGGGGTGGAGGGTCAGCCTGTCAGTGCTCAGACGATATGCCGCACACTGAATCAAATTGGTCTGCATGGCTGTCGTCCCAGAAGGAAGCCTTTTCTAAAGATGATCACAAGAAAGCCCGCAATCAGTTTGCTGAAGACAAGCAGACAAAGGACATGGACTACTGGAACCCTGTCCTGTGGTCTGATGAGACCAAGATAAACTTATTTCG